CTCTGGAGCCCTCAGCACAAGAAGGACAGGGACCTGTTGGAATGCGTCCAGAGGAGGGCCACAAAAATGATCCAAGGGCTGGAGCACCTCTCCTTCGAGGCCAGGCTGAGAGAGTTGGGGTTGTTCAGCCTGGAGCAGAGGAGGCTGGGAGGAGACCTTACTTTCAGTACTTAAAGGGGGCCTATAGGAAGGATAGGGGTAATCTTTTTAGCAAGGCCTGTTATGACAGGACAAGGAATAATGGATTTAAACTAAATAAGAATAGATTTAGGCTAGACATAAGACAGAAATTTTTTACTACGAGGATGGTGAAGCACTGGAACAGGTTGCCCAGAGAGGTAGTGGAGGCCCCATCCCTGGCAACATTCAAGGTCAGGTTGGATGGGGCTCTGAGCAACCTGATGTAGTTAAAGCTGTCCCAGCTCAGTGCAGGGAGGGTTGGGCTAGATGACCTCTAAAGGTCCCTTCCAACCCAAAGCATTCTATGATTCTGTATCTGCCTTGTTGGCCTTTCCCCGGATTCTTACCCATAAACACTGAACACTTTCATCACCATTGTCAAGCTCTAGGCAGTCAAAATACTCCCTAACATACAAGGCTACCCCACCACCTCTCCTTCCTTGCCTATCCTTTCTGAAGAGTTTATAGCCATCCATTGCAGCACTCCACTTGTGTGTGTCATCCCACCAGGTTTCCATGATTGCTAGATCATAGTTTTCCAGCTGCAAAATGGCTTCCAACTCCTCCTGTTTGCTGCACATGCTCCATGAATTGGTGTAGATATACTTCAGCTGGGCTATTGATCCTGCCACCTTTTTTGGGGGAGAAGCCCTAATTCCTATGTGACTGTTCTCAGGTACTTCTGTGGTTTCTAACATATCAAAAACCCTTGCATCTTTGCTGCTGTGTGGATCTCCATCCCCTACCTCCACTGAGATGGCTAGGGTGCTGTGCGCATTATTACAGGGACTTTTAAATGTGCTCCAGTGTACTCAGCACATTGTGGAGCAGACCAGAGGACCTCGCTAGCACACTGTCCCTCAAACTCTGGCATGCCACCTCCAGGCTTGCCTCTAGTGAGCCTAGTTTTAACCCTTTCCCCCTTCAAATTGAGTTTAAAGCTCTTTCAATGATCCCTGCTAACTCCTGCACAAAGAACCTTTTCCCTCTTTGAGACAGGTGTACCTCATCTGCTGCTAGCAGGCCTGGTGTCATGTAGACCGACCCATGATCAAAAACCCCAGAATTCTGCCAGTGACACCAGTGCCGGAGCCAATTATTGGTCTGCTGGCTCTTCCTGTTTCTTCCCTCAACTTCCTGCAACTGGAAGGATAGAGGAGAACACTGCTTATGCTTCTGATGCCTTAACCAGTCATCCCAAGGCCCTGAAGTCTCTTTTGATTACCTTTGGACTTGTTATTGCAACTTCATTGCTGCCTACATGAAAACCCTTACTTAGAAAGGTTCCGGTTCGCGTGGCCCAGATTTGGAAATGGTATGTTATATGCTTCTTTCTTGAGAAATGTAATTCCCACAACATTAGTATCATGTAGCTTAATGTCTGGTAAATAGGACTCCAGATATCAGATTCTTCTGATGATGTTATCAATACACCAGTGGTTTAGAGAGTGACACTACTAAGCCGGAGCCTTTCTCAAGGACTAATGCATTTGGACACAAAATATGGCTTAAGGGAATTCCCTGGGTGGTGTAGACCTGCAGAAACAGCTCCGTGTCATGGCTTGGCAATGAAGCCATGGGCCTGCTGAGAAGAGCAGGTGGCCAAAGGACATGGCACTAGGAGTATTCCTGGTGAGGAAATTCTGCCTTGAGCCAACACAGCCCTGGGAGAGCGAGAAAAAAGTCACATGTGAGATAGCTTGCATTTGCCAATGCTCACCAACAAGTTGAAAAAGAAACTTACCAACAGCATTCTAAGTTGTCCGCCTGAAAATGTCAGCTTAATCTCTCAAGCACAAAAAATCATTAGTCTAACTTGCATAGGATATAGTCTTCCTCACTCCTACAAAGTCCAATGCAATTTCATGTGTTTGGTGTCAGATTGAAAACTACCCAAAACTGGGATATTACAATAGCCAAACTCAAAGCCCGTATTTCACTTGCTCCATGCACCATGTGTATGGGTGTTAGGAGTAGGTCAGAGTTGATACTGGCTGTTAATGGCATGTGAAAATATCAGCTAGCATCTGTAAGACTGGAAGGTCTTTTGATAGAGGAACAGCTTTGATTGGTTGACATACCCATTCATAAGTGCTTGGTATTTTTCAAAAGTCTTATGCCAGCTTCTAACAATGATTTAAAAGTATAATTTTATGCAGCAGGGTGTTTATGAATAGTATATTTGTCTTCTCTAAACTGCACACATTGTTGTGAAGATTTTCTTGCTGGTCTGTGCATTTGTGCCTGGTTACTGGTCACCTTACAGCAATTTAAATCTGGCCAATATAAGTCTCCTATCTAGGAGCATAGGTAGGTTTGTCTCTTTCTCACTCCCGGACTGGTAATGTTCTGCTCACAGCAAGAATAATCACCAGTTTTATTTAAATACTGTAATTAAGCAATTACATTAAAAGGCTGTAAAACATTAAGTGACCAATTCTCTCCAGTGGTCACTCTCCAGTGGAAGCAGCAGATAGTTTGGTTAACCTAAAGGAATGTGACATAACTGTGGTAGTCTGTTACTCCCTGGCAAATGAGATGACTCGGTTTCTGTAGGAAGAATACCACCACTGGGCCCAGAAATGGTCTGAAAATGAATAAAAAGTGCCTAGAGTTTTGACTTGCTTTTATCTTTCAGTACCATTTTATGTCACTGTACTGAAGTGTTATTGTCTACACTGAGAGCCCGGAAGAGTGAAGGATGTTCTCTAAAAATCTCCCTGCAAATTAACAGTATTCTGTTACTGCGAATGGCCTGTTTCCCCAGAAACAGTACTTGACAGTATTCGGAGCTTCAATTACAGATTGCTGAGATGATTTGATCATTGTTCTTAAAACTGCAGTTTTATTCTCTATCTTTCAACCTAGAGACAACTCAGCATTAACACAGCATTCCCTTTTTACAAATGCATCTGCATGCTCTGTTGTTGACCAAACTGACAGAACAAGGAGACTTTGCATACCAACCTGCCATAGCAAAACCAGATCAACAGTTTTGATATCTTCACAAAAACAGATGGTCTCTAGTATTGTTCCATATGGTCAGTTAATTAAGTGCTTTAATTATTAAAGAAATCCTCTTGATTTTGAAGTGAAATTGAGCATAACTTACCTCTTTATCTAGTGACAAGTTATGTGTACAACTGGCTAACCAGAGAACATCCCAAAATGAGTGTTCAAGTCTTTCTTTTTGAGACTTCCAGGCAATAAGATCCGGAGGAAAGATAAATGCTGGCTGACAACACAACAGTAATAAAAAAATTACCAAGAAAAAAATCTTGCCCATTCGTGAGTTAATTCGATTGACATGCATTTAATGAATGCTGTTTACTTGCCAGAAAATTAAACAAATAATGGGCACTGCTTTAGCAAACCACTAGCTGGCTCAAGTGTTTTTCATGAATTAATCTTTCTTTTTATGAATGTAAGACAGAAAAAAAGGAGATCTTGCAACCAGTAATGACATCTGTGAGCTCCTTCTGTGTGTTCTGCAATGGCAAACCACTGCCAGGGACTATAGTGAGGGACAGGGTTGCCATGCAGCCCAGTGAAACAGCCCCCTGAAAAGGCATGCTGACCCACTTTCAACTACCAACTCTTGCTGACCCTTTGTCGAGCGAGAGGTTCTTCCAAGTTTTTGTTGTTTTCACCCTTTCAGTTCTCATTTCTAAAGGAGCAAGGCTGTCTCTCTCTTTCTCCTCATTTTTTTCTTTCTTCCCCAGTATGCATGGAAGAAAGGCAGATTGTTTCTTGTGACTGTCACTACTTTAGAAAAAAATAAAAAATCTTCCACCCCTTCCTTTGTTAAGAACATGCTGTGGAAGAAATACGGATCTTGCCATCAACAAAATTATGATACAATTCCTTAAGGAACTCAGTCTGATCACAGTAATTCATCTATGAAAAACCAGACTTTAATTGTTACTCTTGGCAACAGTGAAGGATAATAGTGTAATATTATACTAAATATTGCCACGTGCAATAGTAAAAAAACTGTTCCAGCCTTGCCAGCAGCGGTGTGCAAACCCCCTTTTGAATTCAGGTTTGGATGTTGTGATTTAATCTAAATCTTTTGCTTCTCCTTCTTCCAAAACTAACAGAGGTTTAAAGAGAGCTGCATTTTTATTGGAACCATTTGGTCAGCCTAAGTTGCCAAAATAATTTAGTTAAAACTAGTGCTTTTGTTTGGGTTAAGGTTGATTCCGGAGCTCCACAGAGGTCAAGGCACTTAGTTTGTCTTCCTCTTTTTCAACTCCACCATGGAGTCTACAGAGGAGCTCTGCCAGCTCAAGTTTTATTTCCTGAATCCCAGTCCCCCAGTTGAGCTTATCTATGTTTGTGATTTTGCACAAGTGGAGGAGAAACCTTATTTCAGTCTTTTTCCTCACTAGTTATCTGCTACAATGCATAGAAAAATGTGTGGCTCCAAGGATTCAGAATAAGCAGGCTCCAGTGGTGCAACAGTACAAGTCCTGCTGCCAATGCTGCTACTGGTGGTGTGTTAATGTGACCTCTCCTTTGATAATGAGTGACAGCTGCTGTGAAATACCTTACAAGGTGTTTGCCTCTCTTGGGCAACAACTGGAAAAACATAAAAATATAGAATTTTGGAATTGAGTTATGAAAGAAAAAAGGTCTACTTTATGCTACTTGAAAAGCATTGTTTGAATTTCAGGTATCTCCAGCAAAATAATACAGTCACAATCCCCTGTCAAAACTTTTTAAATCCTGGGAAATGTTTCACAATAACAAATACTGTAATGTTATTGCAATTAAGAAAGTATCCATTTCTTGCTATGTATGTTGTTGTGTGTGGGCATGTGCTTGTAAATGAGACAAAATCAGGCTCTTCAATGTCAGAACCTTCAGAACGTGATGAGGGGGTTCGAGTCAAACACCCATTTCTAAATCTATCCTCTGTAGTTAGAGCCTGGTTTGGATCCAAAAATGAAAGTTTTTTTGGTTTAGTTTCTATTCCATTGCAGCAGAAAAGTCATAGGTCAGAATGATATATTAAAGATGCTCTATAGTAGCAGTGCCTTGATCTGAAATAGATTAAAGCTAGCCTTCAGTTTTAAAGTGAAACCAGGGTAAAGATTTGATGGTTCTTGTATATTACATTGTTCTCTCAGGAGATCCTAGCACAAAACAGTTCAAATCTCATCTTAAAAGTACTGCAGTCTTGGGTGGAATTCTCATGAAAAGAGGACCAGAAATAAGCCATTCTGGGTTTTTTTTTAGATGCAATCCAAACTGAAAGCAGTAAGAATTTAGTGAATGGGAATCAGAAGCCTATCTGTGTTGAAATACAATGTTGTACGGATTCAAAGTCCAGTTTTAACCCATTCTGAAAAAATATATATTATTTAAGGGCACAAATGTTTACCTCTGCTTGCATTACAGAAGAGGAAAAAAGGTAAAAATATGTAGCTTTAATACAAAATTACAGGACTGTACAAAATTTTAGAAACTTACATGACGGCTGACTGAATAGTATGATTTCTGTCCCATTAAAAGTTCTGGTAGCTCAAGATTTGATTTTATCCTAAATCTGATAGAAATCTTAAATATAAATAATGTAGGGTGACTCATATAAAACAGAAATTTGAAAATACTGTTTTGTCATTTTTAATAAAAATTAACAATTCTGAATGAAAACATGCTCTGAATCCAGAAACTGCTGTATCTTCAACTCTAGACTATTTTATCACAATACTAGCTATACATGAAAAAATTAAACCCCACCAATTTACTTAGTTTTCTGCAAGCAGTGCATGAAATAGGACTGAAAGGGACTAAGAAGATCTGGCCAATGCATTTTGTAGCTGCTATTTTTGGGTTTAGTCATTCTCAGAGGTTTTCCTTATAAAAAAGAAGATAGGCCCCTTCAGTTTGAGCCCCAAAGGTCTCAAAACTATGCACAACATAGGGTCAAACAAACTACTTGAGATTACTTCTTCTTCAAAAATATCAAATAACATGTTGCCTCTGATGGCAAAGAAGAAAGGAAGCTCTCACCCTTATAACCAGCCGCATTGGTTTTCCAGTCGTTAGCATTCAGATGTCCTGCACGTGAAGTCCTGACAATAATATGCTGTATGTCTCTCCAGGTCAGAAACGGGCTATGAAAAAGGGGAAAGACAGAAGTCACAGATCAGACATATTTCACCAGAATGTAGGGATACAAGGTCATGTAAGCTAAAAGAATACCCAAACCAAAACAACCCTCATTTCTCTTCTCTGCTTTCCTTTGCTCCATTGAAAAGAATGTCTCCTAATTTTACAGAATTACTACATGAAATTATTTATACAGCTGGGAGGTTTGCATTAAGCAGACTATAACAATAGGTGATAATATTCTATTATATAAAACTTAAGGGAAGATGAAGGAGCACGTTTCACACAGAGGTAATTTGTATGACCACCAACTACTGTATGTTATCTACCTTGACCAGTGAGAAGGAAAAAGCAAAATGTTGGCTTGCTGAAAAGCTCCACTAAATCTTACTAACTGCATGCTCAAGTTGGCAATTGCTTTAGACGTTCAGCTCTTGTTGAAGCTATTTCAGGTGCCTCTGTTGTTATTCATTTGTCTATTACCCCCAGTCTTGGAATTCACTGAGGGTCTATGTATATTCTTCAAGAAGACCAAGCAGGCAGCACTGAATCTGAATAGTTACAGAGCAAGTGTCTGATTGCACAGATATGTATTCCTTTAAGGGACTCCTAATAACCTGTCTACTGGGAAGGCGAAAGAAGATGCTGTTTGCATCCTCACTATGACATTAATACCCATTTATCTTGTAGGACTAGAGCAAATCTTTAGGGAGTATAGTTTTCTTGTTTCTCTAAGATCCACCCCAAGGAGAATTTCTTTTCTTAGAAGACGTCTAAAGGTGCATGGCCATCATTGGGGTATTTTTTCTTTATCTTTCCAATTTCTCAGTTTTTCTATCATCTGTAAGAGGACGAATAGTATTCTATTTAAAAACGCAGTTTAGTAGAGGGAATGATAAACTAAGCCACTAAATAAAAAAGAGAAAAAAAGTACTGCAGTACAGAACACCAGTCACTCGGTATCATTCTCAGAGTATCACTATCTGCCCCTATTGCACTCACTGGCACAACTCCACTCAGTTGTAATGATGAAAATAGATGAGAATGAAGTTTATCAGACCCAGCATTGGCTGCCTACACTGTCCAGGACTAGGCAGTCATTGAAAACCTGGGAAACCATGGTTCAGTTCCTTAATACAGGCCCTCACGCCTCTCAGACCAAGAAGTCACTTGGGCCAGCAGATAAGTGACTTATTCTCGGAACTTATCTTTAAGGCATGATACTTGAGCTCTGCTTCCACTTGCAGGTAGAAGCACCAAGGCAACACCCATAAGAGTGCAGGGAAGGTCAACCCATGGGTGACTGTAAGTGGGTCACTTTGCGGGGTGAGTGGGACATTGCCATCACATGGAGTGACTCTACACTCTTAAATCAACACATAGTCAAGTTACTAGAAATTTCAATGAGAAATTTCTTTGGGAAGCAGACACAGGATAACAAGAAACAGGCAGAAATACCTTGTTCTTCTCTAAGTCCACCTGACAGTGGAAGACACAGAAAAATCTCACTCATCTCACTGTTTGATGTACACAAACGAATGTTGTGTGGATTGGCATCCCTTGCACATTGTTTCACATCTTCCAGAACTTGTTCTGTTAAAACAGTATCTTTTTGGAAATACTTGAGTAATCAGTGCTTTATGGTGCTTAAATATGGAAATAGAATCCTGCTTATGCTGTGAGCTGAAATCAAGCTATTAGGAAGCAATAAATGAATATGTGTAATAACCTATTAAAAAATGAGCACTTTCTCTTTCATTCAAGATGCATCAATTTAGGTTTTCAGGTGACAAATTTCAGCTTCCACAACCTGCAGCTTTAGGAGAAGGCAGTAGGGATGCAGAAGTTATTGCAAAACTGCAGTCAACTTGTTTATAGAAAAACTTGCTCCTAGCCTATCCTCTGTGTGCATGTAGACATATATTCATGGGTATTAACCAATGGAAGTTCACCTGTGTTGGTGGAATTACTGAAAATGAAAACCAGTTTCAGAACTATCGTCCATAATTCCATACAGGAGAGAAAAACTTGGGATATATAGGACATTCACTCACATATAACTGATGTTTACACATTTTACTTTCCAATAGCCTTATAATCCATATGCTTGAAAACAAGTGGGAGTTGCCTAAAAATGTCAGACTTCTTTTATGTAACAAGATTGTAAGGAATAATGCAAAGACAGGGACCAAACCATTTAACTATACATGTTTTTCTTGTTTCTTTTGCAGTAATATGGTTTTATTCTGAGTGTATCTTTCCCATTACAGTATATTTCCCAGTAGGTGTGTGGACCATGGGTATGCTGATGTAACCTAGCACCTCTCTACCTACAGCTGGGACACCACAGGAAGTGGCATGTATTCTTCTAGAGTCAACACAGAAAGTCCTGTCTAAGCTTGTTGTTGAAACAAGAATAATCTGAAGAAGGAAGATGATTTTTAAGTGAATCTCTTATTAACTGTAGCCAGAATTTTTTGCAATTTCTTCCAGGCTGTATCAATTCATGGCAACTTAATTTCTCTCTGGTTTTGTCGACAAGATATAAGGGTATCCCCATGTTTAAATTATTCTGTTATTTTTAAGGAGAGCTGATGCCTTCTGTCCCTGAGCATTTATTAAAGTATTAATATGCCCATAGATATATTTTTTTTTCTTAAAGTTGAAATTCTCACACTAGACAGTTGGACTAGAATGACAGTAATTGTTTATCCAGCTGAGCTGGTAAAAACTACTGAAAAAAAAAAAGAAAAAAAAATGTCATGGAATGTAAGGAGTATTAAGGGTTTGTAAGATAGGGTATGCTTAGACAGTCACGTAACATACTTCAAGAAAAAAAATCAATATGATTTTATACCAGCTCAGGAATTTCACTGGGAGCCTGTGTAAACTCTTAGAAAAACATGTTTCAGGCCTTCAGGAAGACCTCCAGGAATCCCAAGAGCTGCATTCTTTATAATCTGGAATCTAAACGATCTGTTGTTCTATAAAGCAAGCTGTCCATGCTACTGGTGAAAAATAAGGCACTAAAACACTCCTCTCAGCTTCTCAAGGAGAGACTCAAGATAGGACACACTCAACTGATTATGTAAAGAAGAATGATGGATCTAATGGTGGATCTAACTATGCCTAGATAAAGCATCGAAAGATACAATAGTCTTCACTTGATAATACTAAACTCTCCTAAACTGGACTTAGTGGCGCAGTCAGCAAACAAAATTATGTCTCAGAATCATGGTTTACTTCTAAGAACAATAATCATGGCAGATCTTGAAACTGAGCCATTCACTGTTGTATCTAGCATCCTTATCTAATGATAAAAAATAATGTAAGAATTTCTGGGGCAGAAAACCTTGCTCAGAGGTCTGATTTCCAGGACACAACATGGTATATAGTTAAATCAATCTATCTCTTATGCAACCTCCAAATCTGCTTGCTTACTGTTTAATTCATAAAATATTTATGTTTTCTTCTTAAGGAATAGCAGTTTGGAAATATTTATATCTAAGAGATTTAACAGCATAAGAACAATATTCAAACCAATTTCTGTAGCCTACTATAGGACCTTCACTATACTAAGAATTGAACTATTGCCAGATTGAAATTTTCTCTCTACAGTAGACACCTCATTTGAAACAAAATAGGTCTGAAATTGTTTGCCCATAATTTTTTTCAGAAACTTTAACAAAAAAATAAGAATAAAAAAGAAACTGGAATGATGTCAAAATAGCAGTTCATTTGGAGAAAGAAGAGGGATTTTTTTTGTTTTGTTTTTTTAAACAAGATAGTCTAGCAGCCAATTTTAAAGCATCTGGAAAAATCACAGAATTCATCAAATATTTGTAAAACATGTCAAAATTGGATCCTAAGTGAGTAAACAGTTGTTTGCTAGCCATGTGGGCCCCAGATCCAGACAAGATGTCACTGATGTTAATTGATTTACCACTTGATTAATCTCAGAAGAATTAATGGCTAAACATCTTGAAATGAACAAATGCATTAACAAGAACAGTACTAACTCTGCTTGATAATGGATTGATTTCAAAAAATGGGCAATTTCCTTCCAGAAGATTTTTTTTCAATGTCTCATCTGAAATTGCCTTGGGATTACACATACCAGACAATACTCAAAATCAAATCAGAATAAGCAGAAGTGAGAACAATTACATACAAAAGTGCTTGTACAGCAGACAAAAAATAATGAATGTTGTGTCCTTAACCAATAGTTATACTTTAAGGTACAGCCCTCTTCTTTCAGGCTTCTCAAAATGTTTATGAAACAAGGTAAATGAGAAAAAAATTAAATAGGACAAATTTATTAAATTATATTACAGTAATATTAATTTGTATCTTTAAACAGGCTGCTTAGAAATAGTAGATCATCATTTTTGGCCAAATCTGATTTCTTCATTCCATAAGTAGTCTCCCTAGTGACAATTGGGCTAATCCTGGAAACAGTAAAGAATTCAGGCTCTATCCTTTTGCATAATGATACTGTGCCAAAAATAACTGTTCAGAATAAATAATTGGTGTAAGAGAGACAATTAGCAAAAATACCACTCAATGCAATAAATAAATTGGGTGAAACTTTGGTTTGTTTTTTTTAGCAAAATTATACAGTTAGCAACATGAATAATGATTGCTACATTATCTTCATAACCAGCAATTTGAATGTGACAAAGGTGGCCTATCTAAAAAAATATTTCTGCCAAAATAGCAGAGTCTGATGAGAATTGCTGGAAGACTACAATAAACTTTTCTCCAAAGAATCATGGAAAAACACAATATCACAGGGTGGATTAAGAAGAGGATCACCGTTCAGTTTGGAAATATCAAATAACCTTCTTTGGAAATCTTGGCTATGAGAGAGAACAGACATGGTTCATTATTGCTATAAAAAAGAGTCTCTGTGCCCTAGACATCTTGTAGAGAAGTAGGAGATAATTTTCATCGCTGCTTTCTGCATAGCACCACCCTTCAGTGCTTTATGATAAATTTATTAAAA